AAATACCAAGAAATCCATGCCCTCGAGATCTGTTCGTAATTAGAAAGTGCATCATGACATATCGAATACCAAGAAATCCATGCCCTCGAGATCTGTTCGTAATTAGAAAGTGCATCATGACATATCGAATACCAAGAAATCCATGCCCTCGAGATCTGTTCGTAATTAGAAAGTGCATCATGACATATCAAATACCAAGAAATCCATGCCCTCGAGATCTGTTCGTAATTAGAAAGTGCATCATGACATATCGAATACCAAGAAATCCACACCCTCGAGATGCAAAAGAGACATAGCTAAAATGAAGGTGTAAAATGAAACCAACTATCGGCAAGGAAAGAAGAATGGACGGTTACACTTGGAATATGATAATGAATGTAATTATATAGTGCGAGATCATGAAAGACCACTATTTATGGGATGAAAGAGAAGAAGAGGGGACTCTGTCTCAACAGCCATAAATTTGTTTACTTTTTGTACTTGATGTTAATTTATAAGTTGTTATTTTTTTTGTTTAGGGGATGTTTGTTTGCCAAAAAGTGAGGAAAATAGTGATTTGAAAACCAGATTGAGTGCCACATAGGATTTAGGTTTCGGATGATTTCCATTTCGCTTGTTTGGTTTGCATGATGATTTATAGAAAAGGGACCTTGAAATGGGGTTCCACATCACATTTTGTGGAAATATAATTTCAGCCCCTAAAGGCCTGAAAATGGGAGAAAATCTCTAAGTGCCTATTAAAATATTCTTGTGGCTGAGTTATCAAGGCGACGAGAAGAAAACTAGAAAAAGCTTTAGGGTTCCCTTCACCGCTTCGTGTTCATCACTTCTACCTTTCGCCGCTTGCCGTTTCTATTTCTCTGCCTCCTTGGTTTCTCCAATATTCCAGCCACAAATTCCAGTTGATGAACTTGAAGATGAAAGAAGTCCGCGACGACCATTTAGGGGCTGTTTGAGTTAGCTCAGCCAGATCTAGCAGAAAAATACCCCTTTTTGGGTGATTTCTGCTACTTATCTTCTTCTACTTATTGCGGCGTAGTCAGATCTGCACCTAATTAGTTTTATCCTTGAACGAGGATTCCCTCACCTTCGCTCGCTTTAGGTTCGATCCTACTTTTTCTTCAGGTATACCTCTTCATAGAGCAAATTAGTTATAATTTTTCACCATGCATCAGATTTTCTGAATTTATCCTTAAAAGTTAACCTTGTGATTTGGGGGTTTTTGCATTCATATCAACGATCTAAGTAACTGCATCATGCAAGTAATTGAAGAGATTTTTTTCTTTTATTTTATCTTTTATCTCCAATTTTTGCACTTTCAAAAGCCATTATTTTTTGGTAATTTGTAGTTTTTTTTTCCAAGGAACAATTGATCAAAGTTTTATGCAGTTAATTCTTAACCCCAACATGAGTAGGCCTATTTCCCCTATCTGAAAGCTTGTAATTAAATCTAGTTAGAGAATACTCATCGCTACTGATCATGTCTGTTATATTGCAAATTTCCAAGCTTTAGTAAATCTGATGTCATTTGTTATACCTGTTAAATTAAACATGTTGTCAATATTTCATGGCTTTAGTTAAACTGTTGACATTACTGACAGTCTTCAGTTTTAGATATTAATACTACCTTTCTTTCAAAATGTCTTTAATTAATGTGTTCTATCATTAAAATTAACTGTTGGGTAATACCAACATATTTACTAAATGGGGTTTGTAATAAAATTATCTGGTGGTTAAGAATGACCTTTGCCAAATCTGAGAAGCAATGCAAAAACCTGCTGCTATGACACAAAAATTATGTGCTCGAAGGATGGTTATTCGCTTGTGTATCTTTTTTTAGTGATTCATTCATAGGAGTTATTCACTTGTGTTATTTTTACTGGTTATTAATAAGTCCACAGCCCTACAACAAATAATTTGAGTATGGGGTTAATATGTATGTGTTTTGCTTTTTAATTTAAAATTTTAACTTATAAGTAATACTTGTAGATGGATGGCGATTTTGATGATGAAGAGGTTGGTATAAGAATGTGTGTTGGGGATGTATTTTCAGTCATGGTTATAGTTTTCACATTTTTGAGGAGAATGAAGTGTCGCCATAGATCAATACGATCTAGACCAAGTGATGAAGGACTAAGGCAGAAAAAGACTAGGGCAGAGTTGATGAGTCGTATATATCACGGTTATAGTGATAGCTGTCAAAACTTTGTTAGAATGCGCTTAGGTGTTTTTATGAAACTAGCAAAGTTAATGAGGAAAAAGCATCTCTTAAAGGACTCAAGGCACATAACAATAGAGGAGTAGCTTGCCATAACATTAAATATATTGGGTCATAAATAAAAAATCGTATGATGAGAACACAATTCATAAGCCTCTGAAACATTATGAGAACCTTGCTATCATTTGTGAGGATGATCAAGCAAGAGGTGACTTTGCTAAGGCT